AAATGGTTCACCTGCCTGGATGAGTAATACTCAACCTGTTCCGAAAGGGGTTGCATTTCTTCTAAAGTAGTTTGGGTTTGCTTCTGATTGTCAGTGCTTCTCATTGTCACTAGAGGCACTAGTGGACTCAGTGGCAGACAGCACCTTTTATCAGCTTAGACTGATATACCAGCTACATCCCTATGTGGACAGGGATAGCCTAGATACCATCATCCATGTTCTGGTAAACTTGGTTCCAGAAAACATGGTCTCAGGAAAACTCAATTCCCTGTGAGAGTCACAGGTTTAATTCATAGTGGTCTGAATGCATTTGAATCTATTCTGGATTTGGTCAACATTCCTTGTTATAGGCCAAAATGTTTAGAGGGCCAGAATTTATCCATCCTGGTTAATAAGATGGAGGCAACCAGGACTGTTCCCCTTGGGACCCAACTTTCTGTTGATCAAGGTCAACCAAAGAACTTCATTGATAATTTTCATGGCTGGCCTCCAAATCCTGTGCTATTAATAGCCATCTAATATTAGATAACAATTTAAATATTAGATAAATTGCATTGCATTTCTATATTGTCCATAGCTGAAGCTTTCTGGGCAGTTCACAACATTAAAGTCACCCATGCAGATTTCAACTAGGCCCAACCCTGCTTAGCTTCCAAGATTAGGCAGGATCAGGCACTTCAAGCTCTACAGAAACTATGATGACCCTATAAATGAAAGCCCTCCAAAATGTCCTTTCTATGACAGCTCCATTCCGCCCTTCCAAATTCCAGGCTGTGGCTTCCTTAATGGATTCAAATCTATCTCATATTTGGTCTTCCCTTTCATCTTCTGACATTGACTTTCAATAACATGATTGTCTTCTGTGAGTGTTGCCTTCTTGTGATGTGTCCAAAGTATGACAGCCTCAAATTTGTCATTTTTCCTTCCAGGGAAAGTTCTGGCTTGATTTGATCTAGGACTCACTCGTCTCTCTGCCAGTCCAGCATATTTACAAAGCTCTCCTCCAGCACTATGTCTCAAATCCATCAATTTTCTTCCTGTCAGCTTTCTTTACTGTCTAGTTTTCACACCCATGCAGTGTGACTGGGGATACAATAGTTTGGATTATCTTGACCTTGGTCTCTGGGAAAACATCTTTACACTTGATCTTTCTAGTTCCTATAAAGCATAGATGGCTCGTTTCCTGAAATTCTTTGGTGTGTTCCAGTAGCCAATGCATATGATCTCTAGTGCCTCTTCCTTTTCAGAATCCATGTTGGATTTCTGGCATTTCTCACTCCATATTGGGTTAGTATACTTTGTTGCAGCATTTTGAACATCACTTGGTAGAAGATTAATGCAATGGTCCCATGATTGCTGCCCCTTTTTGCCTCTCCTTTCTTGGGGATTGAAATATATATGAAAAGTATCCAGTTTTGGGCCATTGGTTTTTTTTTACATATTTGTTCACATATTTTGTTAAGATTTGTACTAATTCTTCACCTTGGAACAGTTCTATTTCTACCCTATCTACTCCAGGTTCTTTATTCTTTGCAAGTGCTTTCAGAGCAGCTTTCACTTCACTTTCTAATATTGCAGACTCTTCTTCCTAGGATCCTGCTTCAAAAAGGTTTGGCATCAAACAGACCACACTGCATTGATCCAAGATACCACACCATATCAATTCTATACAGAAAGTTACAGCTCTGAATGAGAGCTCTTGTTAAATCCACATACCTTTCTGCAGCACATTCCTTTCATGATAAGTAAAGTACCCTTTCAGAAGAAGCAAAGAGTGCCCTGGGATATGGAAGCCTTTCATAATACTTCTTTCCAAAGAACTGGTTTTCAGTTACAATAGCATGAAAGGGGAATGGAAGAGCTGCGCCCATGGGTGTATGTGGAGGTGGGGAATGCCCATTTAAGAAACCACAAACGCAAAACACTACTAGCTCAGGAGAGAGGGAGGACCCATTCTGCAAATAAGCTTTGCCTTATATAAAATCAAACCACTGGTCAGTCAGTGGTAGTGCCTCTCCAGTGGTTTAGGCAAGGATATTTTCCAGTCCTATGTGTACATGCTTGGTATTGAATATGGTGCCTTCTGCATCCAAAGCAGATATTCAACCCACTGGGCCATGACCCCTATTCCTGTCAAATATTTTTAACAAGAATTTATAATAGAAAACATTTCACAAAATGGTGGCATGTGTTGTAGTTGGCTGTGCAAACTCTTGCCTAGCTGAACTGATCTTGTTCCTTTTTTCACACTCTGATCTTCAGATACCAGCATATGGGAATTTTTACTGCACGGAGAACTATTGCACCCACGTCCTCATTGTGAGTTTCCCACAGACAACTGGATGCACACTATGTGAAAAGAATGCTAGACTAGATGGATCTTTGGTCTGATCCAACATGGCTCTTATATGTTAATGGCTGCACATGAAACCCAACACACATAAACCAAGAGGCAGGAGAACTCTGCAGGTAAACAAGTGAGAGTCTCTCATAAACAAATGAGAGACTTTCATTTGACTGCACTTGCTCTGCACTGTTATGCTAGCTGAATGATGCTTTCCCAACACATTGAGCAGTAGTTATAGACCCACTGTTGAAATAGAAACAAACATACACCCTGCAAACATTGCCAGTGCCTTGTACATTTTCTATTGGCATGATATGAATGAATGGACTTGATAGTTGTTTGCATATTTGAGTTGGGAAAGAGTGACTACCTTTCTTTCACTAACTCTCCTTCTTTCTGTAGGCTAGTTATGTTACATCAAGAACCAAAAGAAAAAACCCTCAATTCCTCCTCACTCCACCCTCTAGAACTTGCTCAGCAGGCTGACATAAGCTTTTTGCTCCAGGAAAAAAGAAAAGTGACCTAGATTTTTTCTCCTTGACATGCCTGTAGCCTGATCCTAATAATGATAACTTGAAAATATGATTCAGTGCTTCAGTAGGAGTTGGATGTGGAATGCTTTAGGCCTGTAATCATAATGGTTCCAGGAATACAAGAATTAAATGTTTCATAGCACTTGTTTCAATCCAAATGATCTGGAACATGATCTATGGACAAAGCATGTGTATATACAACCTATGGATATGTCCATAGCATGTCATCCAGTAACAAAAGTATGTCACCCAGGTAAACTTGCCAAGTTTGCCACTACACACTATGTGAAGCTGTGTTTTCACATGTTTCCCCTTATCTGTAGGGACAGGATAATGGGATTCCTGTGCTTTTTGTAACAGAATGGATAAGGGAATTTTGACAAGTACAGTTTTCATAAAAGGACAGGAGAAGCAGAAAGCAATTCCTTTTGCACAACTTTTAAAGCTCTGAGAGCTGTTCTTCCTCTGCTCTTGGGCACCCTAAGTCCTCACTGGATCCTGAAGTTTGGAAAAGTACTATTACCTTTAATAGAAGTGTCAAAAGAACAAACTTACTGTATTACATGTCTTTAACAGACTGCATCCAAGACATACAGATAAATTCTGCGTCCATTATTTGTTCCTGCTTTTAAAAGATGTGCAATCCATTTTTCTAGTTTTTATTACTAACTAGATTTCATCCCACCTTAACCAGACAACTGACAGTGGTTTACTCCTGTGGTACTTGCTCTCTGAAACAAAGTTAACTGCAAGACATGCTAAGGGTGGGCACAAAGCCTAAGTGGAATAAGCTCTTCCCACACTGTTTTGGAACTAGTTTCTCAGCCTACAGTCATACTTACCGGGCTATGAGTTCTATTGAAATAAATGTGGCTCACTTCTGAATAGATGTAAGGTTGAACCATTAATGGGCTTTCCTGAAAACATGCTGTGTCCATGTACTATACATTTGAAAATTCCCACCTCTTCCCCAGCCCGACATTCCACCAAGCTCTCCTCATCACACTATAGCGCGAAAGTTCTCAAACTGTGGTGTACAAGTGCTATTCATGGGATCTGCAGAAAGTCTGCAAAACAGCCTAGACTATCTGTGCTTGGCCCTGATATGATGTATTTTCTGAAGAGAAAGATCAAGGCTATTTTGATTAGGGCTGCATTACCAAATAGACCAACATGGCCCAGGGCCTGTGCTTTCCATAATACAGGGCTCATGCAGTATTATTATTTTTCACTAAAAACCGATGAATTGACACCACAGATCTTTCCTCATAAAAACAGGGACCTCTTTGTCATCTGAAAAGCATGACCACAGTTCTCAAAATCTGGGTTATATATGTGCTTTGTCAAACAACAACAAATTCAAGTGATGCTGCGACACTCAACCTGCAGTAATATTCATATGGTCCGCAAAAAGAAAGCTTTGAGAAGCAGTGCTGTGGTGTAATGGTAACCGGGTATGCAATTGCAGCCTTGGGAAGGCCAACTTGCAATTCAGCCTCGTATTTGGACTGATCCTACTCGTACCTAATGCTATTTGGGCAAGATTTCCGCGATGATTCTCGCGGAAGCTGGCTCGCCGGCAGGGGCGACCTTGAGCCGAGCCGAGCCGAGCCGAGGGGGTCTGATGGCTCGAAGCTGAGTCAACAGAGCCGCACGCTTCACCCCATCCTACACAAGGCCGACACCTCCTGCCAGCGGAGCTATCACGTTTACCAGGCGCGGGGCAGCCGGGCGCTGATTGCTTGGCAGGCGTCTCGCCTGCGACGGGATTGGTTGCTCCAGCACTTTCACGTGAAAAAGGCAGCGCAGAGTTTGATAAGCAGCCCGACTGGGCTGGCGTGGTAGCTCGGTTTGCAGGCAGGAGCTGCAGCAGCAGGAGAGGAGAAAAGGGATCCAGAAGAAAAGCCCGATGCCTTAATCCTCATACGGAGTCATTCGACTGCTAAGGAAGCCCAAGCATTGCTTGCGTCTCGCACGTTAACGACCTTTCTTGTGCCCTTATGCTCTTCCCTCTGGGTTGAATTCGTCCTGTTTATCGCAAGCACACCAGGTAAGTCCAGTTCGGGAAGAGGGAAAAAGTAAAGGTTTAAAAATGTGGTTGGTGGTGTTTTGTAAGTGAAAAGGGCGATTTAATCTAATAAATGGGCTTATTTCAAGGAGGCTGCAGTCTTGGAAGCTAGTTGCTGCCTATTTGTGCTGGGCGGGACTTCAGTACGAGTAAGCATGCATGGGGTTGGGACGAGCGCATCTTTCTGCCTCTTTTTTGCTCTGTCATAGGATGGGAATTGTGCGGTGGCTGAAACAGCAATGCAGATGAGTACAGTATGTAATTTATACGTTAGGCTGCCAGGCATTGCGTGAGTGAGGCTGACCAAGCATTTTTGGAAGATGCTTCATCTTTTGTCTCGAATTTCTATGTTAAAATATATTGATATGGATATTTATTTTATTAATAACTGTAAAACAGTTTGAAAAAAATCTATGTAAGTGTAGTGCCTCTTATGAGGCCAGGATCATAAAACATGTGGAAGGTTCTGGCTTGCTTAATGAAGCTTTTGCTCTAATATGGAGGTTAGAATTATTTTTACAATCAACACCACTACTTTCTAAATTGGTTCATATGATCAACTTGTTTTTTCGAAGGTTTGGTTAATCCATTGCTGCCTTAATGAACTCTTCAGAAAAATTGTTGTAATTTGCCTATAGTAAGAGTACCTTCTGGGTTTGTTTTGAAATTCAGTTATTTAATGAATCATAAATGTGATTTTTCAGGTCATAATTGAAGGAGAATTAAAAGAAACAGTGAGGAGAGGGAGTGAAAGAAGGGAACACTTTTGGTTTTCTTTGCTGTTTCTTTTAACCATGTCAGAACTGGACTCTCTAACATCCTTCAGTTCAGGACCCTGAGACCAGAAAGGAGTTTGTTCTGGCAGTTCCCTATAAGATGACTCTACCTGGAAATTCTCTTCCTAGTTTTCTAGAACATTCTGATGCTTAAATCCACTGCATCTACTACAAAAGTTGACCCTCAAGTAATTTTTGCTGAAACTGTGCCTCTTACAAATTAATGGGAAAAAAAAGATATAAAGTACTTTTACTCAAAAAATAATAATGCAGACAAGTATTGTAGCCTTAAGTAGTGCTTATTACTGAAATAACTGCATTACTTTAGGACTGCCATAGGAAGGCATAGCTGGTTATGAGAAAATATTTTGGGAGGAAAAATACGATTCCTAGATATAATGTAAGCAGATGTTCAAAAGATAACTGATTAATTTAACTGAATTTACTGTTGCGTATATTTAAGGTTCTCCAAGCATGGATGAAACATATGTAAAATTAGGTCCTGGAGTGCAGTTGTTGAATGTTGTCATATTATCTCTGACTTATGGTGATCCCATGAATAAAATCCCTCCAAAATGCCCTAACCATAACAGTCAGCTCAGCTCTTGTAAATTCAAGACTGTGGGTTCCTTCATAAAGTCAGTCTGTCTCGTATTTAGGATTCCTTTTCTTCTACCTTCAACTTTCCCTAGCGTGATTGTCTTCTCTAGGGAGTTTTGCCTTCTCGTGATGTACCCTAAGTATGAGAACCTCAGTTTAGTCTTTTTTGCTTCTAGGGAAAGCTCTGGTGACAGTAGGATACAAAATTGTTATAAAGTTTATAAAAGAATCCACAAAAGGGAAATAAAGATGATTTCTTCTAAATGCCTTATTTTTAGAATAGATAAGCATTTCCCAAAGCTAATACATTTGGAGTTGTGATTGCTTTCTGAATTGTAAATATACGTATCCAAATATTTTATGCCTGTACTTTATGGTGAAACAAATAAAAGAAACTATAGATGAAAAGTAGATCTGAATAAAAGCATAAGCTGACTCAAAATACCATATGGGATATATCCCAACTGAGTGACATCTTACTATTTCATCCATTCCACTTCAGTCTGTCAGTCACAATTCTGGCTAATCTTGCTAGTGACTGAATTATTTATGGCTTCCAGCCAGCAAGCCATAAATTATGAACAAGTGTGAGTACAGTGGAGGAGCCTTTGAAGCGGGTTTCCTCCAGTGCCTCCTCTACTACAAAACTAAGCCTAACACTTCTGTGTTTACATTGCAGAATGATACAAGTCTTGGATCCAAGACCCCTCCCCAGTTCTATCATGCCTGTCGATGTAGCCATGAGAATATGCTTAGCCCATTCACCCCCTGTAAAGAGTTTTCTCAACCCACTTGATGGATATCAAAGAAGAAACTTTGTGGACCGATTTAAGCCTCTCAGACCATGCCTCAATGTGAAACGGGAAACTGAGTCCCAAAGCAATGATTGGAAAATCTCTGCCAGACGGGCCAAGAAGAGAGTTGTATTTGCAGATTCCAAAGGCCTTGCTCTGACTGCAATTCATGTCTTCTCAGAATTCCAGGAGAATCCTGCGTGGGATCTTCAGTTTGAATTGTTAGACCTTGAAGACATAACAGCTGGCCTGAAATTACATGAGGAAAAGCACTTGATTTTGGGTTTCACTCAGCCTTCAGCTGACTACTTAGATTTCCGAAACCACTTACAGAAGAACTTCGTGTGTCTTGAAAACTGCACTCTCCAAGAAAGGGCTGTGTCAGGAACTGTGAAAGTTAAAAATGTGAGTTTTGAGAAGAAGGTGAGGATTCGGATCACCTATGATTCATGGCAAACCTATTCTGACATTGATTGTAACTACATGAACAATGTTTATGGAGACTCTGACAATGACACTTTTTCCTTTGCTTTTGACTTGCCTTCGGCCATTCCTGCTGAACAAAAGATTGAATTTTGTGTGTATTACCAAAGCGGTGAGAATATCTTCTGGGATAATAATGATGGGCAGAACTACAAGATTGTCCATGCAGAATGGAAATCTGATGGAGTCCAAGCACCAGCATCTCCCAGGAAAGACTACGTGACACTCAGACCCTCAAGAAAAACACATGAAACAGGCTGTGAACAACTTGGGAGCCCTCGGATATCCAATGGCTTTTTCCCTGAATGGCAAAGTTGGGGCAGGATTGAAAATTCCTCTCCGTATTGGTGAATGGAATAAACCACAGAGATGACTGCTGTCAATGGCTGTATATCACCAGTCTTCAGCTTCTTAATTTGCAGTATAAGGAAACCTAGAAGGTTTGCTGACTACAGAAACAAAAGTACTAGCCACAATTGAGACTTGGGAAAATTCAGTGACAATGTCACCTAGTATTCAATGGCACATGTGAGCAAAATGTGTGACTTTGATTCTGCTGGTCATTTGCCTTAACTTGGGTAATGGGGTCAAGGGAAAGGCTTGTTGGAAGGTAACTGTGGGGTGGCTTTGGGGAAACTAATTGTATGAAGGTTGTTGAACATAAACAAAGTACCTGCTTTAAGTTGGAACAGAGACCATGAGAGATACTGAACTGCTAAAAATGAGACCTGAATCCAGGCTAGACAAGTCTTGATTATAACACAATTCATTGTTTAGGTGTCTGGTACAGAAATACCTTTCATTATGAATAAGGCTGGAATGAAAGAGACTGAAGAAGCAGAAGTAAGATATACTATATTACAGAGGGAAATTAAGTTTTGGGGAGATCTGGTCTTTACGAATCCTTGAAGAATTTATTTTAGGGTTTTAAAGAGCTGTAATATACAACAACTATTTCCCCACAAAATTAGGGTTGCTACCATTGTATCCCAAGAGAGAGATTTTGCCTTGGAGTAATTTGGCAGACAAAATGTATCTTTCCTCATCAGTGTATTGTGGGGAGCAGGGGTTACCTGTTCTACTTCTGCCTGCCAGGACTGGGTATGTATGGAGGAGGTGAGAGGAAGTGTTTAAGAAATAAGGAGCTGGAAACTGATATATACACATACATATACGCACATGAATATAGGCACCCTGCATAGTTGTAAACTGGTTTCTGTAACATGACTTCCAACTTGCTATTTAATGGCCTAACTTTGCTTTCCTACACTTGCAAAACCTCACTTCACAGTAGATCTCCATCATATATACACAAAACCTATGCCTGAAACAAAATCCAATAGGGTGTTCCAAGTTTAGACTGTTTCATTTTTTAAAGAGTTTTGTGAAATGCCTTAATATGTAGATATTGGCTGCTGCGTCTGCTGAACTTGCCTTGTAAAAGTAGACCCATTTTCCTATTATCTTGCTCGTTGTTGCAGAGTTTAGTAACATTTCTTCTCTAAAAATAGCTCTTCACAACAGTAAAATAAACCTAAGCCGTTTAAAGTCCTTCATATTGAAGGGGTGATATGTAACTGCACTTCTCAAGCTAGTCAGTTTCAAGTAACAGAGTGTGCATCTTACACATACATAGAAATAGTTTTCTACTCACTTTCTCATACCTCATTTGTCTTCTGTAGTTCTTATGGATGTAGAAAGCTTTGTATGCCTGTGTGTGTGTGTTTTGTTTTAATTGTAGTGTTCCCCCAATATATCACATTCTGTAAATAATAGTGTGGGAATGTAGCATTGGCACAGGCTGTATAAAGCACAGTCGATCAGGATGAAAGTGCACACATACTTCTGTGTTCGTGTATCAGTGTTTGTAGTGGTAATGTCCATGGAACCGGCTAATCAAAACATTGTCACACCAATAACGATACAAAATTTGCTTTGCTAAAAACAAAGGTGGGGAGCTTCTTCCACCTTTACTGCATTGTACTACTGTGTAAACAGTTCACTTTAAAAATAAATTTTGTTTTGCTAACCATGGCAAGCTTTCTGCTCTTGGGAGCAAATTGAACACCTTGGCATGGGTGTGTGTATGTGTAAAGTGCTGAAATTAATAGAGTGTTTGGTCATGGCAAAGACCAGGGATATCTTATCACCAATTGCTTTTTCCTTCCGGAACTCCTGTCATCTGCTGATGTCTGTCTGTGTGCTGGCTAGGAGGGAATAGCTAGAAGCTACTCAACTATATGCAGACACTGCAGTGAAGCATAATCCCCCTTAGCCAAGGCCCCATAATGTCTTTCTGTCATCCTCTTCTAAGTCCAAGATTCCATTAGTCTAGCATCCCTCTATCAAACAGATGCCAAGATGAACCTAGTCAGATGAAAGGAGTGATGCTCTGAACAGGCTGTCTGGATAGGGACTGTGAGAGGGACAACTTATAACCCATTCAGTTGTACTGCAACTCCCCACAACCCTAGTTAGCATAGCTAACAGTGAAGCATAATGGAAAATGCATTCCAACACTTTCTGAAGGGCTACAAGTTGCCCACACCTTCAGTATAAGGAAGGCCAACACACTCAAGTCTATACCAGGGTGGCCAGACTTGCTCAGTGGAAGAGCCACATATGATAAATGTCAGGTGTTTGAGAGCTGCAGGACATGAACAAGCATTCATTTATTATTATTTATTATGACAAAAGCATTGGGTTCTTACAGCAGTCCACTAGGCTGAAGAGGAAAAGGCTTCCTCCAATAGTCCACAGCCATGCACACATACAGTAATTATCTGCACCAGCATTCACAGTTCCTCCGCATCCACGAATTCGGATGGTATGGCACTGAAACTGATTTGCCCTATTCACCTACGAACTTGCCCTGATTCGCTCCAAGGGGTACTGCGGTAGCGCTCAGACCCCTCAAAGTCCACTCAAGCGTTTGGCTCTGTCCTTATTTCCTTTGTTGGCAGATATTTGGCCCCATGTGTGACCGCACTTCTATGCTCCACAGATGGCGTTTGGAAACCACCAGGCTATTTTGTGGGGCTGCTGCAGCACTGGCTCCACCTCCATTTCGCTGCTGAATCAATCAGCTCTGGACTGTCAGGCTTTTTCAGCCCCTCTGCAAGCTGCAAAATAAACTCAAAAGAGCTGCATGTGACTCATGAACCTCCGTTTGGTCATCCATGGTATATACTGTTCCTCCGTTATCCATCACCTCTGCCAAAAGTTCTAATTAGCTAGTGCTTTCACAGTTTGGAGTGAGAGCTGCTGTTGCTGAACTGCAGTAGCACATCTGCTCTAGCAATGCCACTATGTGCTTCATATGTGTAAGTCTTAATAGTTGCATAAGCCACCAGCACTTGCCTTTTGCATTTACAGATATCTCTGCATGCTGCCCAAGGCTGGATTGTGGCCATTATCCTTTTATATAAATTAGCCTATATTATAAAGGCAACATTTCTTGTCCAGCGTTTAGCTTAACAAATTAGCCTTTATCTTTGGCTGCTAAGCCCACTTTCCAAATAATGTCAAATAGTAAGATCTGGCAGTCTACAAAGAACTTTGGTATGTCTTTGGGAGGGGGGCTCAATTAAAATTGAAACTTCCTAAAGCACCTTATAATCTTAAGCATACATTTCCTAAAATATTTTTGTTCTAACTTCTTGGACAAGGACTCCAGCTAACGGTCATGCTACAAAGTCACATATTTAATGTGCAGCAGTTAAATCTGTTCCCACTGCACTGCACACAAAATAATTCTTGTACAGACTGTGATGGAAGAAAGTGTTCATTTGGACAGTTTGTTAAAGCATTCCTCTAGTTCAGGGATAGTCAAATTAGAATCACAGAATAATAGAGCTGTAAGCGGCCAGAGGGTCATTGGGTCCAACCCCCAGCTCAGAGCAGGACCCCAAGTTAAACCATTCCTCTCAGATGTCTGTCCAATTGCATCTTACATGCTTCTGGTGTGGGAAAGCTCACAGCCTCCCTAGGTAATTGATTCCATTGTCATACTGCTCTAACAGGAAATTTTTCCTGCTATCTAGCCGGAAACTGGCTTTCTGTAACCTAAGCCTGTTATTCCACATCCTGCACTCTAGGTTGATTGAGAAGAGAGCCTGTCCTTCTGCTTTGTGACAGCCTTTCAAGTACTTGTAGTGTGCGATCATATCTCCCCTCAGTCCTCTCTTCTCGAAGCTAAACATGCCCAGTTCTTTCGATCTCTCCTCATAGTGCTTTGTTTCCAGTTGCCCTGCTCTGAACCCCCTGCAGCTTTTCTGCATCTTTCATAAATTGTGGTGCCCAGAACACAGATGAGGCCTAACTAGTGCTGAGTAAAGGGTAACTAGTACTTCATGAGATTTGGAAGTGATACTTCAATTAATGCAGCCTAAAAAAGCATTTGCCCTTTTTGCAGCCATATCACATTGTTGACTCATATTCAGCTTGTGATCTACAACAATTCCAAGATTCTTCTCATTTGCATTATGGTTGAGCTGTCCTTGAAAATGGTCCGGAAGTTACACTTGGTGCAAAAGAGAGCAGCTAGGCTGTTGATGGGGACCGCTAGTGCCAAACATATTACATCAGTCTTCTATGAATTACACCGGTTACCCATTGAAATCCGGGCCCACTTCAAGGTGCTCATTTTGATGTATAAAACCCTAAATGGTTCAGGACTTGTATATCTGAAAGAATGCCTCCATCCATATAAGCCTACCTGGACCCAGAGATCATTATCAAAGGTCCTGCGCTAGGAGCCATCTGTAAAGGAAGAGGATGGCTACCCGAGGCAGGGCCTTCTTAGTTGTGTTGCCCCATCTATGGAATCGACTTCCCAAGAATATTTGTCAAATACCATCTTTATGCATATGCTGGCACCAGACTAAGATGTTTTTATTCAAGGAGCATTTCAATTGTTGATTATTTTAATTGGAATTTAATTTTAATTATGTTTTAATGCAAATTTCATTTTCTTAATTTGAGATATTTCCAATCTGTTGTTAAACTATTATTTAGTACTCCTGCTATGTTGTTATTTATTTATTGGGATATTTCTAACTCATCCAATAACTATGTATCGCTGGACGTCTTACAAACAAATTATGTTATGTTATTTATTATTGCTTTTCTGGTTTTAATTGTATGTATGTAGGATGTTTTGTAGGATGTTTTATGCTGTTGGTTTTTATCATGTAAATGATCTAGAGAGTCATGTGGTATACAAAAGTGTTAAATAAATAAATAAATGCAGAGTCAATACTGGGCTGAACAGACAAATGGGCTGAATATGTATAAGGCAACTACGTAGACAAGAAGGTAAATTCAATCTCTGGGGTTTCATTTAGTGTATTGGGTAAATCTTGGAGGAATTAAGATTGCCGGGAAAAATATCAACAACTTCAGATATGCAGATGATACCACTCTAATGGCAGAAAGTGAAGAGGAACTAGCCTCTTGAGGCAGGTGAAGGAGAAGAATGCAAAAGTTGGCTTGAAACTCAACATTAAGAAAACTTAAGATCATGGCATCCAGTCCTATCAATTCCAGGCAAATAGATGGGAAAGAAATGGAGGTAGTGACGGATTATATTTTCCTAGGCTCCAAGAGCACTGCAGACGGGGATTGCAGCCAAGAAATTAAAAGACGCTTGCTCCTTGGGAGGAGAGCTATGGCAAATACTAAACAGCATACTAAAAAGCAGAGACATCACCCTGCCAACAAAAGTGCGTATAGTCAAGGCTATGGTTTTCCCAGTTGCAATGTATGGCTGTGAAAGTTGGACCATAAGGAAGGCTGAGCATCGAAAAATTGAGGCCTTTGAATTGTGGTTCTGGAGAAGACTCCTGCGAGTCCCTTGGACTGCAAGGTGATCAAACCAGTCAATCTGAGAGGAGATCAACCCTGATTGCTCTTTAGAAAGCCAGATACTGAAGATGAAACTCAAATACTTTGGCCACCTAATGAGAAGGAAGAACTCCCTGGGGAAGAGCCTAATGCTGGGAACAACTGAAAGCAAAAGGAGAAGGGGATGGCAGAGAATGAGGTGGCTGGATGGAGTCACTGAAACAGTTGGTGTGCACTTAAGTGGGGGATGGTGGAGGACAGGAAGGCCTGGAGGAATGTCATCCATGGGGTCACGATGGGTTGGACATGACTTTGCAACTAGCAACAACAACAACAAGGAGGAAAAAAGTCACAAATGAACTGAAACTGGAAGGATGTTGTGCCTGTTATCCAACCTATATTTGACTTGAACTACGGTCAGACTGGAACAACTAAATTACAGCTGAACAATATGACTCCTTGCTCAGAATTCTTCCATGGACTTCATATGTCTTTTACAGTTACTTATAAAATACCTCCAAGACTGGGTTGTGTCAGAGATTTTCAAGAATTAATTTCTTCAGCTGGCAAGCAGCTATAACTTTGCCGCAGACAAGCCTCTGGCTTTGAAGGTCATGATACTTGTAAAGTACTGCAGTGTCAGTATGGCGCTGTCAGAGAGAGGTATCTGGGTTTAACAGCCATGTAACAATGAATTGGCTAAGACACATTACTGGCTCCCAAGTCATGATGATGTAGCACAGTGTTGCACAGGTAAGTAATCCAGGAAAGTATCAAGTGCGTGTTAATGGCTGCAAGACTCTTCTTTCTTTGGTCTGTGCCCAGACTTGCCCAGACTGAAACATGTCTACAGCACACACTTCCACAATGTGACTTTAGAAGATAAGCTTCCCTAAAAGACAGGATGCCTCCAAGGTGGCTGGAGGAATCACAGAAAAACACAGGCGCCATATGCAGGGCTATGTCCCATATACTAGAAACTAGCAGGTACACATGTGCATACCTATTATTTCCCATAATGGATGAGAGCTACACAGCATTTAAAACCATTTGCATTGTGTGTTAGCATGGGGAACCAGTTGTCACAACTGAGTCTCCCAGTCTATTCATGGAACATACCCATACAGCTAAAAAAAGTATGTAAACAAGTAGAGTTTTTGCACATAAATGTTATGGGTGGCACCCAACATCTTG